ATCGCCACCTCGGACACCGTCACCGTCCGCGCTACTGCCGCCGTCCAGGGCCTCTCGCTCGCTACCCCGGCTTCTGCCACCTACGTCGTCAACATCCCGCCGGCCACAGACTCGGGCTCAGTCCGCCTCTCGCTCCTGCTCGCCATCGTCATCCCGGTCACTCTCGTTTGCTGCGGCATCTGCGCCGCTGTCGGCTACGTCATCTACCGTCGCAAGTCGGTCACCTACACCCTCGTCTCGGACGCCGAGCTCGTCATCCCGCCCGAGAACCTCCACGTCCTCCACGTCGTCGGTCGCGGCTCGTACGGCACCGTCTACGCCGGGACATGGCGCGCCACGAGCGTGGCCATCAAACGCATGCATGCCAAGGTGCTCGGCCCACGCGAGCTCTCCGAGTTTGTGGACGAGGCCCACACGCTGCACCTCCTCCGCCACCCGAACATTGTCATCTTTATGGGCGTCACGCTCGAGCCGCCGGCCATTGTGACCGAGTTTATGGATCGCGGCTCGATGTACGAGATTCTCCACGCACCGGACCTCGCCATCGACAACTCGATCGCTCTCAAGTGGGCGCACAACATCGCACAGGGACTGCAGTACCTCTCGCATGCCGGGATTGTACACGGCGACTTTAAGTCGCTCAACGTGCTCTTTGACTCGTCGTGGGTGCCCAAGATCTGCGACTTTGGCATGGCGTCGGTCAAGAAAGGCAACACTATTGTTGCCGACGGCAAGCTTGTGGCCAAGGGCCGGGCCATCAAGCACACTGACTCGGGTGTGGTTTCTGCCGCCGGCTCGTCAAGCATTCTCGCTTCGCGGCCGTCGTCGCTGCCGTCAAACGCCGCCTCGCGCTTTCTCGCAGAGTCGTCGTACCTCGTCACCCAGTCGCTCTCTGGCGACGGCTCGGTCATGCACTCGGCAGCCAACGTGGGAACGGTCTTCTGGGCCGCGCCCGAAGTCCTCACCTCGGGATCCTGTGCCATGACCACTCAGTCTGACGCGTATGCCCTGGGCATTGTCCTCTGGGAGATTGCGACCCGCGAGGATCTCTATCCTGGCGAGAACGTCCTCGCCGTCGCCCTCGAGATCCTCGAAGGTCGCCGGCCTGACACCACCTCGATCCCCACCGCGCTCTCGGGCATCATCCCGGTCATTTCCGCTCTTTGGGCCCAACGAGCCTCGGACCGCCTTGATCTCGACGCCGCCGTCGCCAAGCTCGGCACGCTTTACTCGCCTGAAAATGTGACCTATCCGTCGTCGCTCTCAACGCCGACCGGCTCGCTCATCGTCGTCCATTGCGTCCTCCGCAACGCGCGCGCCATGCTTCTTGTCAACATCGACGACACCATCGCCCGTCTCCGCATGTTCCACGACTCGTTCCCGCATCTCGCCAAGGCTGCCGCTGTCACCATCCTCCAATGGGGGCTTGGTTGGGTCACTCTCGGCGTCCACCGTCCGAGCCAGCTGCCGGACGTCCTCTTCCTCGTCGAGTCGCTCGCTTCCTCAGAATCGGGTCCCATCGCCATGCTCGTTGCTGAGGGCACCATCGTCTCTTCGAAGGACTCTTTCGGACACCACACGCTCGGCGGGCCTGTCATCGAAACGCTGCGCGCCAGCTGGGCCACTATGTTTGGCACCAAGGGCTCCGGCTTTGACACCCTCTCCCCGCAGACTGGCATCGGTACAAACGCCCGCCAGCGTTCACCCCCGCCGCTGGCGGAAGCATGGGACCACGCCGTTCCGGGCGGTATGTTCATCGCCACGACGACTCTCGCCAACCAGCTCAAGTCCTTGTCCAAAATCCAAGTCATCCGCATCCCTTGGCTCGTCAACGATGAGCCGGTCTTTCAGCTTGTCGACGCCTCGGGCGTTGCCGTCACAGACGTGGCCAAGCCCATCACTGCTCGCGACTACCGTACCCACTCGGACGAAGCCATCGACAGCAATGCCGATAACGACCTTGGCTCGTTGGGCTCACGTCCGCCGCTTCCGCCGACCGCCGCCGCTACACCCTCGGCCGTCACCCGCGCCGCCGCCGCCCTCGACGACCTGCTCGTCAACTCGGCAGACTTACAAGACTCGGCACTGGTGTGCTCGCTCGACGTTGACGACAACTCGCACTCCCCTGACTCATCGACGTCGTCCCCCGCATACGCCGCCCAGCCGAGCTCGGATCACCGCCCGGGACGCTCGACCATGGCCGTCACCAAAAGCAATTTTACCGCAGAGTCGAACTCAAACATCTCGCCGTCGCAGCCGCTGGCTCCTACCGTCCAATCACCGCCACTCTCGACATCGGGCGGCTCGGTGATGCTCCGGTCGTCCGGCGCGTCAAACCGTCACTCCTCGCCATCCTCGTCATCCTCGTCATCCTCGTCATCCGCTCTTGACACTGCCTCGTCGTTGTCGGAAGCAGAGGAGCAGATGGAAAACGCCGTCGGCCGCGAGTTCTCAAGATGGGACCTTCCGCGCTGGGCCGTCCTCCACATGATGGAGGCGTGCGGCGACGCATGGCTCGGCTCGATGGCCATGGCCTACGAGGCCGTGCTCTCGGGCCAGCCAGTAGTGGTCAAGGTCCTTCTCCGGCAGAAGATGTCGCCTGGCGACCTGGTGAGCTTTGCCGAGGCCGCCGCCCGTGCTACGCTCGCGTCGGCGGTTGGCGTTGTCGGCCCCATCGCGGTTTGCCTCGACGCGCCGCTGCTCGCAGTCGTCAATCCGCGCTACGACACCGGCTCGCTTCACGACGCCATGACTGGAGTCTCGCCGCTGGTTCTCGATCGGCGTGGGTCGTACGCAGTGGCCACGTCGATGACCGAAGCTCTGGCCAAGCTACACGCCGAGACAGGGCGTGCCCACGGAGCGCTGCGCCCGACCAACGTGGTACTGGTCGGCGCCAACGGCTCCATCCTCTCAGCCCACGTCATTGACTTTGGCTTTGGAGAAGTCAAAACCTCGCTCGGGACGCAGACCATGGTTCCGACCGTGGCGTACATGTCGCCGGACGACCTGCGCGGGAGCCTCGACTCGATGCCTGGTGACGTCTTTGTCGTCGGCACACTCCTCTACGAGATGCTGACCGGGCTCTCGGCATTTGCTGGCCGCAACGCTATCGAGGTCTCGCACGCCATCATTTCCGGTGAGCGGCCTCAGCTCACCGAAGCAGAAATCGAGTCGCAGGCCATGCGCCGCCTCATCGCCTCGTGCTGGCTCTCGGACGCAGCTGCGCGTCCGACCATGGCCGAAATCGCTACCCAAGTCGCCGCCCTCGACGTCACCGACTTTGTCCAGACCGGTCCCGCTGCCCGTGTCGCCGCCGAATCTGCTGCCCGCGTCGCCGCCGCCACCAAAGCCGCTACTGCCAAAAAGGCCCGCACACCCCGCCATGCCCATCGCCGCCTCTCATCGGTCTCCGTGGCGTAGAGTCTGAAGGCCGTTTGTTGGCAGGTAAGGACTGCGGGTCAAGTATGTCACGGCGCACCACCCCCCTCCCCCCTCCCTCCTTCCATCAACCAATGTTCCTCAATTTAACCACCACCACACAAACGCAATCATCTGCACTCCCGCTCTTAGCCGATGACCCGCAAGCGCACACACGCACACACACACATACACACACACACACACACACACGGCTCGCCATCCCATTCCCCGTCCCCACTCCCCACACAACCGAAACCAACTCTCGCAGCATTTGAAATCATTGTGGTTGTGGTCAGAAATGGGTTTGGGCATGGCTATCAGACGTGCAACGTTCGTCTTTGTCGCGGTCGTGGTCGTAGCGCTTCTTGTGCAAGTCGCATCGGTCGGAGCAGTTGATGACCAGACGGGTCAACCCGATGTGGCAAACCCGACACCATCGACCTTGGCACCATCCTCGGCATCGTCCTCGCCCGCATCAGTCAATGCCATGGCCAGTCGATCGTCGTCAACCACACCCGTCGCCCAGTCATACCATCCAACAACGCTCCGCATGCACATGCACTCGGCGCCCAACTCTCAATTCACTCTCGTCGGCATCGCCATGGCAGACTACTACAACGCGTACATGAACGGATCGTCGTCGATCTCCGTCCTCCGCTTTCCCTTCACCAAACTACTGGATCGGTCCAACTTTGCTAGTTGGCTCACAACGCTGGGCGCGCCCGATGTGCTGCCGCACTTTCAAGGCCCGCGGCCGAACGACTTCTTTGACGACGGCCTCCTAGAGGACTTGACCGACATCTGGGACGAGTACGGCCTCCATGATGACGTCTTGCCGCTAGGCATTGAGGCGTCCACCGGATCGGATGGCAAGAGGTACCAGGTCCCCATGATAGCGGCCGGCTACATGTGCATGTACCGCGCCTCCATCTTCGACACCTTTGACATCTCCCCGCCGGTGACATGGATCGAGCTTCTTGCAGTCTGTGCCAAGTTCAAGGCGGTCGGCATTCCGTGCTTCGGCACCGATCTCGACGGCGTGCCCCCCACTCAATACTTTGACTCGCTCGCCATCCGCATGCACGGCAACGAGTTCTACGCCGCCCTCTTTGACGCCCAGATCCCGTTTGACGATCCGCGCATCCTGGCCGTCTTTGACGAGCTCGCCCCGCTGCTTGATCTTGGCTACTTTGGCCTCGAGCCATCGTCGATCCCCGGCGTCAGTCATCAGGTCGTTGGCATTCCCGCCCTTGCCCGTGGTGAAGTTGCCATTGTCTGCGGCATCGAGTCGGTCTCGGCCTATGTCGGTCTCTTTGGTGTGCCTGACGACGACATTGCTGTGTTTCCCTTTCCTTCGTTTGATGCCTCCCATCCGGCCGCAACCGCCGGGCCCAAGAGCGATACCTCGGCAGCACTTGGTGTCCTCGGCATTATGGGCGTGCCATGTAATGCTGCGTTCATTGACACTGCCAAAGACTTTGCCCGGCTCATGGCCGACAAGTCGGCCATGGCCACTATCCTCGCCAACCGCCCTGGCATCGTCCCACTGCGGTCCTCGCTCGCGTCTCTTCTCACTACCAACCGCTCACGGCAGGTCTACGAGACCCTGGCATCGGCCCCAGTCGTCCTCCGCAGCACCGGTATCGCTGGCTTTGGCGAGCCTGCTATCTTCATGGAGTGGGCCAACCTCGTCTTTAGCTTTTATGCCGGTAACAACGCCGCCGAGTCTCGTGCAGTCCTCGACACTACCCTCGTTGTTCTCGAGTCGCTGCGCCTGAGACTCGTCCTCGGTCAAGCCGCACAGCCCGAGTTCTCGCCCCGATCGGGTGCTTTTGCTTCAGCTGTCACGCTCACGCTCTCCTCGCCCGAGGAAGGTGCCGTCATCTACTTTACCCTCGACGGCTCGGAGCCGTCGTTCACTTCGTCCGTCTATCTTCGGCCCATCCGCATCGCCACCTCGGGCACCGTCACCGTCCGCGCTACTGCCGCCGTCCAGGGCCTCTCGCTCGCTACCCCGGCTTCTGCCACCTACGTCGTCAACATCCCGCCGGCCACAGACTCGGGCTCAGTCCGCCTCTCGCTCCTCCTTGCCATCGTCATCCCGGTCACTCTCGCTTGCTGCGGCATCTGCGCCGCTGTCGGCTACGTCATCTACCGTCGTAAGTCGGTCACCTACACCCTCGTCTCGGACGCCGAGCTCGTCATCCCGCCCGAGAACCTCCGCGTCCTCCACGTCGTCGGCCGCGGCTCGTACGGCACCGTCTACGCCGGGACATGGCGCGCCACGAGCGTGGCCATCAAGCGCATGCATGCCAAGGTGCTCGGCCCACGCGAGCTCTCCGAGTTTGTGGACGAGGCCCACACGCTGCACCTCCTCCGCCACCCGAACATTGTCATCTTTATGGGCGTCACGCTCGAGCCGCCGGCCATTGTGACCGAGTTTATGGATCGCGGCTCGATGTACGAGGTCCTCCACACGGCCGAGTTGTTCCTCGACCCGTCGATGGTCTTCAAGTGGGCGCACAACATCGCACAGGGACTGCAGTACCTCTCGCATGCCGGGATTGTACACGGCGACTTCAAGTCGCTCAACGTGCTCTTTGACTCGTCGTGGGTGCCCAAGATCTGCGACTTTGGCCTATCGTCGGTCAAGAAGGACGGCAGTCTCGCCGACGCTCCGCTGGTGACCAAAACCCCGCGAGGCGCAGCAATCGCAGCAGCTGCTTCAGATTCGTTCTCTACTCTCGCAGCTGGGTCGGCATTGTCGATCGGCTCGGTCCGGCTCGGCTCGGTGCCGTTTTCATCTCACGCACTCTCCGATGGCAGCGAGGAGCAGCTGCAGCTTGCGGCCAACGTGGGGACAGTGTTTTGGGCTGCGCCCGAGGTGCTTGTTAAGGGCAAGGAAGCGCTGACGACCGAGTCAGATGCGTATGCGCTCGGGATCACCTTGTGGGAGCTGGCGACACGACAGGACCTCTTCCCGCGCGAGAACGTGCTTGCTGTTGCCCTCGAGGTGGTCCACGGGCGGCGGCCTCCTGTCGAAGCTGTCCCCGCCTCGTGCGCCGGCATTTTGCCCGTCATGAAGGCACTGTGGAATGGCGATGCCGCCAACAGGATGCGGCTCGACGAGGCTGTCGAAGCGCTTGGTGGGCTGTACTCTCCGGAGCAGGTCATCTACCCCTCATCGCGGTCGGCGCCGTCCGGAAACATCATTGTCTTGCACTGCGTCATCCGCCATGTTCGCGACAGGCTGTTGACTGACATCGACAACGCCGTGACTCAGCTCAGGGTGTTCCACGACGCAATGCCGCAGCTTGCAAAAGCGTCGTCCATCACTATTCTTCAGTGGGGCCTCGGCTGGGTCACCTTTGGCGTCCACCGCCCGAGTCAACTCCTCAACTTTCACTTCCTCATCGCTGACAAAGTCGGGCCCGTCACCATGCTTGCTGCCGAGGGCACCATTGTGGCCTCCAAGGACTCGTTCGGTCATGAGGCTCTGGGGGGGCCAGTCATGGCCACCATTGCCACCCGCTGGGCTTCCATGTTTGGCACTTGTGGCTCGGGCTTTGATGCCCTCAAGCCCCAGACCAGCACCACGACACAAAGCTCGGCCTCGCCGCTGCTCTCGGACGCTTGGCAGCACGCGGTGCCCGGTGGGATGTTTGTGGCCACAGAGGGCCTCGCTACTCAGATCCGCGAACTTGGCCAAACCAAAGTGGCCAAGATCCCGTGGCTCGTCGAGGGTGAACCAGTCTTCCAAGTCGTTGACTCTACCGGTGTCGCTGTCGCCGACGCTGCCAAGCCGCTCACTGCACGCGATCGGTCGAACGGTCCACATGCTGTCGCTCCGTCCGGCACGACTGCGGTCGGCCACAACGGTGAGCTGGTCATCTCCGCCCCCGACCGTCGCAGCCGTCCACCACCCTCCGGCAGTGAGAGCCATCGGAGCCATCGGACAGCAAGTACAGCACGGTCGTCGGCTGCCCTGGACGACCTTCTCGTCGGCTCAACCGAGTTTCACGACTCGGCCATCGCCATGTCCCTCAATCTGGGTTCGTTGAGCAACACCGCGAGTCGGACAAGTCTGCCACATCCCGACGCCACCAAAATCACGCCGGGTCCGGGCTCATTGTCGACGTCATCATCGTCGTCAAGCTCTGTGCCGTCGGAGGGCGAGAACAGGACAAACGGTTCGCCGACCACAATCGGTGCCCCTGGCAGTTCCAGCTTGGCCTCGTCGTCGTCGGATAATTCATCGTCGTCGGTGGCGGTGTCGTCAGCGTCGACATCGTCGTCATTGTCCGACGAGGAGCAGCTCGAGGCTCAGGAGTCGCTTGAGCTCTCCAAGTGGCACCTGCCACGGTGGGCAATTGTGGCCATGATGGAGAACTGTGGCGGCGCATGGCTCGGCTCGATGGCCATGGCCTATGAGGCCGTGCTCTCAGGCCAGCCAGTAGTGGTCAAGGTCCTTCTCCGGCAGAAGATGTCGCCTGACGACCTGGTGAGCTTTGCCGAGGCCGCCGCCCGTGCTACGCTCGCGTCAACGGTCGGCGTCGTCGGACCCATCGCGGTTTGCCTCGACGCGCCGCTGCTCGCAGTCGTCAATCCGCGCTACGACACCGGCTCACTCCACGACGCCATGACCGGAGCCTCGCCGCTGGTTCTCGATCGGCGAGGCGCACATGCAGTGGCAACGTCGATGACTGCCGCGCTGACCAAGCTACACGCCGAGACAGAGCGTGCCCACGGAGCGCTGCGGCCGTCCAACATCTTCCTCGTCGGCTCCAACTCCACCATCATCTCGGCACACGTCACCGACTACGGGTTCACCACCGTCAAGACCACCCTCGGGACTCAGACCATGGTCCCAACTGTGGCGTACATGTCGCCGGATGAGCTCCGTGGAAACCTCGACTCGATGCCTGGCGACGTTTTTGTCGTCGGCACGCTCCTCTACGAGATGCTCACCGGGCAAGTCGCCTTCTCGGGGCGCAACGCCATTGAGGTCTCGCAGGCCATGGTTTCGGACGCCCGGCCGTCGCTCACGGACGCCGAGATTGTCTCCCCCATCCTACGCCGCATCATCGATGAGTGCTGGGCCTCCAAGCCTGCATCACGGCCCACCATGAGTGAGCTGAGCAAGCAGCTCGCGGCACTCAAGGTCGACGACTTTGTCCAGACCGGCGCCGCAGCTCGCAACGCCAACGAGACCGCAGCTCGCATCGAGGCTACCCGCAAGAAAAAGCGCGGCGTCAACTCACTCTCGCAGATGCGCCGTGGCATCCAGAGCGATCCTAGAGCCATGTCCTCGTAACAGGCAACCAATTGCAGCCTGAAATTGAGAGGCGCACGCAAACAATTTGGACTCTGTTAAATTGGTGATTTAATCACGGCGAGCGGAATATTTGTCATACCTAACCAACCCGCACCCCCCAACACCCGCAACCTGCCAGCCCAGCGTTGCCAACACCAGGACACCCCTCCTCAGCCGAGTCACTCAAGCCCGGTGAGAACCGAGCAAACAAGCTGTCAATGAGCAGACGCGGCCACGGCGAGGGCAGTACAAGATGGAGCAAGGACTCAAGGCGCATCATACACACACCCATGCCTCTTGTCTCCCTCATCCTTGCCATGTTTGTTCTCCTCCTTCCTATTGGCCAACTCACCCGAGCAAGTGACGCCCCAGTCAGTATGGGTCGCGCCAATTTGCGCATGCATGTCTACTCTGCGCCATCATCTCAATTCACCCTTGTCGGCGTGGCCATGGCAGAGTACTACAACGCACACGTCAACGATTCAAGTCATATTGACGTCATTCGCTTCCCTCTGCAGCAACTTCTCGATCGATCGATCTACTCGTATTGGGTCGACGCGCTCGGTGGTCCAGACGTCTTGCCGCTCTTTCAAGGTGCGCGGGCGAAGGAGTTTGTCGATAGTCACCTCCTCGTCGACCTTACTGATGTGTGGGATGAGACTGGCCTCACCGGTGACGTTTTTCCGCTTGTGGATGACGCTGTCACAGACTCGAGTGGCCAGGGCAGGTACGCCGTGCCCACTCTCGGCTCGGGCTCTATGTGCATGTACCGCGCATCGGTCTTTGCCGCCCACGGCGTCCAGCCTCCGGCGAGCTGGAAGGCCCTCCTCGAGCTCTGTGCCGTCTTTCATGCTGTTGGCATTCCTTGCTTTGGCACCGATCTCGAGACGCTGCCGGTCTCGCAGTACTTTGACGGGCTCGCGGTGCGGATGCACGGCAACATGTTCTACGCTGACTTTTTCGACGGTCATGTCTCGTTCACTGACCCGCGAGTGCTTGCCGTCTTTGAGGAGCTCATCGATCTCATCGAACTCGGCTACTTTGGCATGCAGGCATCGTCGCTGCCTGGCCTCTCCAGCGAAGTGGTGAGCTTTGGCGCGCTCGCCCGCGGCGACGTCGCCGTCATTTGCGGTCTCGAGTCGCTCTCACCATACCTCACGCTGTTTGGCGTGCCCGACGATGACGTCCTTGCCTTTCCCTTTCCCACTGTAGCTCGGACCCACCCGCGGGCCACTGCCACGGCTGAGACCGACACCTCGGCAGCACTCGGGGTTCTGGGCATCATGAGCATCCCAAAGAACGCCGTCTATCTGGCCGAGGCCAAGAACTTTGCGCGGATCACCATGACCAGGGAGGCGACAACCGCCATTCTGGCCAACCGGCCTGGTATGGTTCCGCTCCGTAGGTCGATGGCTTCACTCCTCACCACCAACCGCTCTCGGCAGGTCTTCGACATGTTTGCCTCGTCGCCAATCCTCCTCCGCAACTCGGCGCTGGTCGGCTTTGGCATCCCCGCGGTCATCGACGGTTGGTGGCAAACGCTACTTCGATTCTACTCGGCACCCAACGGCGCTGAGGCCCGTGCTGGGCTCGTCAGCGATCTCGCCGCAGTCGACGCGCTCCGAGTCCGACTTGTCCTCGGCCAGGCTGCGCAGCCCGAGTTTACTCCTCCGTCGGGCACGTTTTCCAACACGGTCAGCGTCGTCATTTCGTCGTCCCAGGACGATGCCGTCATCTACTTTACCCTCGATGGCTCGGAGCCGTCGTTCACTTCGTCTGTCTACTCTGAGCCCATCCGCATCGCCACCTCGGACACCGTCACCGTCCGCGCTACTGCCGCCGTCCAGGGCCTCTCGCTCGCTACCCCGGCTTCTGCCACCTACGTCGTCAACATCCCGCCGGCCACAGACTCGGGCTCAGTCCGCCTCTCGCTCCTCCTTGCCATCGTCATCCCGGTCACTCTCGCTTGCTGCGGCATCTGCGCCGCTGTCGGCTACGTCATCTACCGTCGCAAGTCGGTCACCTACACCCTCGTCTCGGACGCCGAGCTCGTCATCCCGCCCGAGAACCTCCGCGTCCTCCACGTCGTCGGCCGCGGCTCGTACGGCACCGTCTACGCCGGGACATGGCGCGCCACGAGCGTGGCCATCAAGCGCATGCATGCCAAGGTGCTCGGCCCACGCGAGCTCTCCGAGTTTGTGGACGAGGCCCACACGCTGCACCTCCTCCGCCACCCGAACATTGTCATCTTTATGGGCGTCACGCTCGAGCCGCCGGCCATTGTGACCGAGTTTATGGATCGCGGCTCGACGATACAGGTCACCCGTCATACCGTCGCAAGTCGGTCACCTACACCCTCGTCTCGGACGCCGAGCTCGTCATCCCGCCCGAGAACCTCCGCGTCCTCCACGTCGTCGGCCGCGGCTCGTACGGCACCGTCTACGCCGGGACATGGCGCGCCACGAGCGTGGCCATCAAGCGCATGCATGCCAAGGTGCTCGGCCCACGCGAGCTCTCCGAGTTTGTGGACGAGGCCCACACGCTGCACCTCCTCCGCCACCCGAACATTGTCATCTTTATGGGTGTCACGCTCGAGCCGCCGGCCATTGTGACCGAGTTTATGGATCGCGGCTCGATGTACGAGGTCCTCCACACGGCCGAGTTGTTCCTCGACCCGTCGATGGTCTTCAAGTGGGCGCACAACATCGCACAGGGACTGCAGTACCTCTCGCATGCCGGGATTGTACACGGCGACTTCAAGTCGCTCAACGTGCTCTTTGACTCGTCGTGGGTGCCCAAGATCTGCGACTTTGGCCTATCGTTGGTCAAGAATGATGTGGCTGGTGGTAGGCCTGTGGCGCCTAGTGCAGTGCAGACGTCTGATGCGGCTCTCTCATGGGCAATGCCGTTTACGAGGCATGATTCGGTCAAATCGTCCCGCGGCTGGGCGACTGGGGCGGTCGACAGCTCTCGTCTGGTATCGGTCGAGGCCGATGATGGCTCCGAGTTAATGACGATGAACACGACCGGGACGATGTTCTGGGCGGCACCCGAGGTGCTGATGGGCGGCAAGGAAGATTTGACCACCGAGTCTGATGCGTTTGCCCTGGGTATTACGCTGTGGGAGTTGGCAACGCGCGAGGACCTGTATGCCGGGGAGAACGCGCTTGCAGTGGCGTTGCAGGTAGTGGGCGGGCGGCGGCCGGAGATTGCGATTGTGCCGTCGGGACTGGTGGGGCTGGTCCCGGTCATGACTGCGCTCTGGGCGGCTGAAGCGAGCGAGCGGATCAGCCTTGACGAAGCGGTGAATGAGCTTGCTGGTATGTACTCTGCAGAACAGGTGGTGTATCCGTCAACGCCCGAGGTGCCGTCTGGCCGAATCATTGTGGTCCACTGCGTGATGCGCGGGGTGCGCGATGAGCTGCTGCGGAACGTGGATCGCTCTGTGGAGCGCCTTCGTGCCTTTCACCAGAGCATTCCGTGGATGGCGCAGGTGGCATCGGTGGCGATCTTGCAGTGGGGCCTCGGGTGGGCCACGCTCGGCCTCCACCGGCCTAACCAGCTCTTGGACTTGCTGTTGATGCGAACAGTCGAGGTGGGGGCGGTGACAATGATGGCTGCTGAGGGGGTGATTCTTTCGTCGCGCGACGGGCGTGGGCACAAGCAGCTGGGTGGTCCGGTGATGGAGACGCTGCAGTCGTGCTGGGTGGAGATGTTTGGCCCGAGCGGCTCGGGCTTTGACGGCTTTCGGCCAGAGACGGCTTCTAATGCGAATGTGTCGGTCTCACGACCGCTGCTCTCCGAGTCGTGGAGCCATGCGGTGCCCGGCGGTCTGTTTGTGACATCGATGGAGCTTGCGAGTCAGATCAAGAAACGTGACGGCGTGCAGGCTGTCCGGCTGCCATGGCTAGTCCACGGCGAAGTGGTGCACCAGGTCGTGGTGCATGACGAGGTGTCGGTCTCAGAGGTGGCGCGGCCGTTGCGGGCTGGCGAGTCGTGGAACTGTAACAGCGACGAGTCGGTGGTCCTGGCAGATGCAGCGACAGAGGTTGATGCCGGGGATGAGCTTGTGCCTAACCTCATGGCTGTGGCATCGATTCCGCTTGAGGCGCGTGATGGTTCTGCGGCCAAAGTGATGTGCTCTCACTCTGTCGGGGCGGTCATGATGGCTGGCCCTGGGACAAGCAGTGTCATCTCACCATCTCCGTCGACGTCAACAGTGTCGTCGTCGTCGTCGTCGTCTTTGTCATTGTCGTCGTCTTCGCCATCGCTGTCGTCAGGAGAAGAGCAGGTCGAGTTGACCGAGTCGATGGTCCTCCCTGACTCGCCGAGCCGGTCGAGGCAGCTGGTCAAGTGGGAGCTACCGCGCTGGGCAGTGGTGAGCATGATGGAGTCGTGCGGGGAAGCGTGGCTCGGCTCGATGGCAACAGCCTACGAAGCGGAGCTCCAGGGCCAGCCGGTGGTGGTCAAGGTCCTGCTGCGGCAGAAGATGTCGCCGGACGAGCTGGTGAGCTTTACCGAGGCCGCTGCCCGTGCTACGCTCGCGTCGGCGGTCGGCGTCGTCGGCCCGATTGCTGTCTGCCTCGACGCGCCGCTGCTCGCAGTCATTAATCCGCGGTACGACACAGGCTCGCTCTACGACAGCATGACGGGCATCTCGCCGCTAGTGCTCAACCGCCGCGGCGTGCACACTGTGGCAAAGTCGATGACTGCCGCGCTGGCCAAGCTCCACACCGAGACAGGGAGGGCGCACGGATCGCTGCGGCCGACCAACGTGATGCTCGTCGGGGCGAACCGGGCGATCATTACAGCGCACATCATCGACTTTGGCTTTGGAGAAGTCAAGTCCTCGCTTGGGACGCAAACCATGGTCCCAACCGTGGCGTACATGTCACCGGATGATCTGGGCGGCGAGATGGACTCGATGCCCGGCGATGTGTTTGTGGTCGGCACGCTCCTCTACGAGATGCTGAGCGGCGAGCAGGCGTTCGAAGGCACAAACGCCATTGAGGTCTCGCGCGCCATTGTGGTCGGGACGCGGCCAGCTGTGACCTCAAGCGAAGCCCGTTTGCAGCCGTCCGTGAGCTCATCCGCGACTGCTGGCAGCCGCATGCGCACATGAGGCCATCAATGTCCGAGCTCGCCTCCCGAATCGCCGCACTTACGGTGAGCGAGTTTGAGCTCTCACCGCGGGCAATGGACAAGTACGGCAGTGGCTGAATGGGGCATGTGTGTCGGCACCAGTGCGGCATCAGCATCATCTGTCGTTGTAGATCGGTGAAGTGAATACCGACATGATCGAGATCCCGCCAGCCGATGTGACAGAGATGGCGGCCGAGGGAGACTGACCCAGCCATGGGCGGGTCGAGGAGTGTGAGCCATGGGCGAGCTGACGAGTGAGCCATCAGCGGGTCGAGGAGTGAACCATCAGTGGGCCGAGGAGTGAGCCATCAGTGGGCCGAGGAGTGAGCCATCAGTGGGCCGAGGAGTGAGCCATCAGCGGGTCGAGGAGTGAGCCATGGGCGGGCCGAGGACACACTTGACCCCCCCCTACCCCTACCCCTACCTCTCTCTCCCTGGTGTCTGTGTCTGTGCGTCTGGGTCTGGGTCTGTGTCTGGTCTGTCTTGCTGTGTCTGGGTCCGACTGTTCCGCCTGAGCGACCTGGTCACCATGGACGACATGCCCGATGAGGTACGTAGGATGGGGGGGGGCATGGGCATGGGCATAGGCATAGGCATGGGCATGGGTGACTCATGGTGATTGTGTTGGGTGGGTGGGTGCTGGGTGGTCGTGGGCGTGGTCATGGCCATGCTGTTCCGTCGGTGGTCGTGGCCGTACTGTTCCGTCGCCGCCTGCTGGCTGTGTTCGTCATCATCATCGTGCTCGTCACCGTCACTGTGCTCGTCATCATCATTGTGCTCGTCATCGTCATCATCATCGTGCTCGTCATCGTCACTGTGCTCGTCATCATCATTGTGCTCGTCATCGTGCTCGTCACCGTGCTCGTCATCGTCACCGTGCTCGTCATCATCATCGTCACCCTGCTCGTCATCATCACCGTGCTCGTCATCGTCATCGTCACCGTGCTCGTCACCGTGCTCGTCACCGTCACTGTGCTCGTCATCATCATTGTGCTCGTCATCGTCATCATCATCGTGCTCGTCATCGTCACTGTGCTCGTCATCATCATTGTGCTCGTCATCGTGCTCGTCACCGTGCTCGTCACCGTGCTCGTCATCATCATCGTGCTCGTCATCGTGCTCACTGTGCTCGTCATCGTCATCATCATCGTGCTCGTCATCGTGCTCATCACCGTGCTCGTCACCGTGCTCGTCACCGTGCTCGTCATCGTGCTCGTCACCGTGCTCGTCATCGTCACCGTGCTCGTCATCATCATCGTCACCGTGCTCGTCATCATCACCGTGCTCGTCATCGTCATCGTCACCGTGCTCGTCATCGTGCTCATCACCGTGCTCGTCATCGTGCTCGTCATCGTGCTCATCACCGTGCTCGTCATCGTGCTCGTCACCGTGCTCGTCATCGTGCTCGTCACCGTGCTCGTCATCGTGCTCGCCATCGTGCTCGTCACCGTGCTCGTCATCATCACTGTACTCATCATCATCATCATGCTCGTCATCGTGCGAGTCATTCTCGTATTGGTACAGATCCTCCTCTCCATCCTGTCCCGCCTCGACTTGGCCTCCCTCGCCGCCGCACGCGCCGTCTCCTCCCGCTGGCACCGCATCGCCACAGACTTTACCATCGGCCGCGCCCGCTACCGCTCCCTCTTTGGCCGCCGCCAGGTCCTGGCAAAGTCGGCTCTCTGCAAGTGGCTTGCCAACCCGACGACGCCACAAGCAGCTGCGACGCAGGCCGCGACTCAGGCCGATACGCCTGACGCGCCTGGATCTGCTGCAGCTCCAGTCATTCCGCCAGCACTGATGCTGATCGATCCGCCCAAGCCGCTCCACAGCGACAACGCTGCCGCCTACGAGCTTGCCATACGAGCGGGCCCGTGGCGATTTGACCTCGCTGCCGCCTCGCACCGCTCTGGTGTCGATCTTGCCGGGCTTGCCCTCAAGGACCGCGTCCCGCTGGCTGTCAAGCTCGGCTACATGACCTGGATGGACGCCGTCCGCGCCCGTCTCCGCATCGAGGTCACCAACCGTCCAGACCCGGCCCTCGCCACCATCAACATCCTTTCGTACACCTGCGACTCGCCGATCCTGGGCCAACGCTACATGATGCCGTACCTCGACTTGATCAGTTCTCTCGAAAGAACAGCGCACGACGCGCTCTCACGACTGCACGAGGCCGAAGCTGACCCCACGATCTCAAGCACCGCGCTGGCCGCCGTCGCTACTGCCATCGAGGACCTGCTGTTTGTCATAATTGAGATCGGCTACGACGCCGTCGATGACTTTACTTTCCTCCTTGCCCGCTCGGACAAAGCCTCGCTAACCTGCCCCGAGTGGGTCGACTCGGCCTCGCCCGACATCCTCCTGCTCGCCTCGGACGCCCACTCGGCCATCGCGTCGACTCTCCAGATGCTCGGCCGCCTGCTCGCCGATCCCGACGCTGCAGACTCTGTCTTCTCCACCATGGCTGCCCACTGGGAGGCCGCCCTTGGCCCGCGCTTTTACTGGGTGTGCAACAACCAGGCGCTTGGCATGCGCCACTGGGCCGGCCTCCACGCCCACCTCGACAACACAGCGCGCCGCCGCGAACTCATGGAGCGCGCACTCAGCCTCCTCGAGACCGCCACCACCGAGCGCCCACACTCGGCCCGGATGCGTCTCAACTACGCGCGTGTTGCCCGTGATACCGCCCTCATCCTCGACATCGACGACCCGAAGCGGAATGAGCTCCTCCGTGCCGCCCTCGCCATCGGCACTGAGCTCGCTGCAGGCCCCAACCACATGGGCCGCCTCGCCCGCGATCTGGCCGCCACCATCGAAGACAACGACGAGCGTGCTGCCGCCTTTGACGTCGCAGAGGCCCACTACGCAGAGGCCAACCTCGCCCCGACCGATCCGGCCTACCACAACACCATCAACAACTGGGCCATCACCATCCTCACTCGCGCCTTATCGCTTCATCCGCTCTCGTCGCCGGCCTTTACTGCCCTCGTCGACGACGCCGCCTCGCGCTTTGCAACGCTTGCTCCAGCGGTCGACGACTCGGGAGCCCTCGTCGTCGTGCCCGACAGCGGCAGCAAGTTCGAGTCTTTAGACAAGGCTGTGGTCTACTACACGTGGGCCTTCTTCTCGCTTGCCCGGCTCCACGCCGTCAAGGGCGACGAGGTGACGTGCGCCAAGTGGCTCCACCTCTTCCTCCGCCATTGCCGCCCAGCCACCGTCGTCCTCGACGCTATCAACGGCGAGGCGGACGGCTACCCAGACCGTCTCGCCACTGTCCGCCACGCTCCCTTCTTCTTGGCCTTTATGGACGAGGTCCGCAGCGCGATCGCCGCCGATGCCGCCGCACGCGCCGCCGCGCGCGCCGCCGCTTCCACCACCTAGCCGCGATGCGTCTCGAGCGCCCGCTGCACCCCACTACAACCACACTGGTCGGCGAGCGCGTCGCAAATGGCGCCCCACTCATTAACCAGGCGCGTCCGCTCTGCGTCAAAGGCTGCGCGCTCGCGGGCGATGCGAGCGTGTGCCTCGTCGAGCTGCACCGCCAGCGCCCCATAGTTGGCCTGCGCCGCCGTCAACGCGCTCGCCGCGCTCGCCGCCCGAGCCTCGGCAGCCTCCCGTCCCGCCGCCGCCCGCGACGCCTGCGCCGAGAACTCGCGCGCCTGGCCCGTCAGTGCCTCGTCGCGCGCCGCCGCCGCCGCCAACGCCTCGTGCGCCGCGTGAAGGCTGCGGTTGAGCGCAGCCACCGCGCCCTGGGCGTCATCGCGGTCGCCGTGCGCCTCGGCCAGCGCCGCCTCCGCCTCATCCAGCCGCGCCTGCATATGCATCTCGGCTCGCGCCGATTGCTCCACCAGCGCGCGGTGGTTGGCGGCAGAGCGCGCAGCCGCCGCGTCGAGCTCGCCGCTCGCGGCCACCAGCGCCTGTCGGGCGGCGTCAGCGTCGGCTTGCGCCTGGGCATGACTCGCCGCCAGGCGAGTGTACCGCTCTTGCACCTCTGACAAGCTGCGCTGCGCCACCTCGAGTGCCGCCACCGTCTCGGCCTCGCGCGCCTCGTAGCCCGCCACCAGCGCGCCCCACTCGTCGACCAGACGCTGCGTCTCGGTGGCAAACTGGGCGCGCTCGGCAGCGAGCACGTGCTCCAGTGCCGAGTGCGACGACGCGAGGCTCTCTGCTCGCGACGCCGCCAGCGCGTGCGCATGCGCCCGAGACCGCGTCCGCATGGCAGCCCGCAGCGCCTCGAGCACCGCGTCCGGCCCGGCGGCAGCATCCACGCCCACCAGCCCGGCCACCTTGCCCACAAACGTCTCAAACACCGCGCCAGCCTCCCCCACCGCCGCCATCCGCGCCCCGCACTCGGCCCATGCCCGCGCAGCCTCGCCCTGCGCCTCTGCCACAGCCTCCTGCATCGCCCGTCGCTCCGTCACGCCCATCGGTCGAGCGGCAAAGGTCAGCCCCTCGCCGTCGCCTCCCCCGCTCGCGCTCTCTGTCACCGCCAATTCGTTCGTCGTCGTGTTGTTCGTCGAGTCGGACTGCCGGCTGACCGCTGTCACCACCGCCTCGGCTCGGGCCGTCGCCGCACCACCACCTCCACCCCCCCTCGCCGCCGACCACGGCTGGCCGCCTGTTCCGCTTGTTGGTGGCGGGCGGTAGGGCGGGCCGCCTGAGCCGCCGGCTGCCGAGTACCGGGCCGCTGCGCCACGCGCTGCCGACTGCTGCCACTCGGAGAGCACGTTGCGTAGCTCAGAGACCTGTGCGTCCACAGAGGCAGAGGGGGCCGACATGGGGCTGGCGTGAAGTGGTGGGGGAGGTGGGGGTGGGGGGTGGGGGCTGCCATTAATCGTTGGCTTGTTGGGTGCTGTAATCGTTGGCCATTAATCGTTGGCTTGTTGGGTGCTGTAATCGTTGGCCATTAATCGTTGGCTTGTTGGGTGCTGTAATCGTTGGCCATTAATCGTTGGCTTGTTGGGTGCTGCAATCGTTGGCCATTAATCGTTGGCTTGTTGGGTGCTGTAATCGTTGCCGGCGGCCGGGCACTGACTGAATGAAAGGCATTCAATGCGCTCACCGCGGTAACGTCTCAGGCATGTCGGCCACAACATAGGCCATGGCGGCAAGGACGCCGATGCACCTGTTGAGCTCGACAGGGTCGATCTTGTCGGCGGTGTCAGCCCGGGTGTGGTGGTAGTCAAAGTACACCCCGCCATCGGCCTGGAGCTCGAGCGTCGGCACGCCAGCGGCGAGGAGTGGCGAGATGTCGGCTCCGGTCTCCAGCGCAGAGGTCATCGCCCGCGCATCGACGTGTGTCGGTGGATGGCTAAGGAGTGTGGCAACGGCGGAGAGCGCTGCTGCGGTCTCGCTCGAGCCGCCGGCGGCGTAGAAGCCGCGTGGATCAAAGACACCCGAGTCAGACTCAATCGCCAGCACATGATTGCCGAGCTCGCTTGCGTAGTGCTCGGCGTAGGCCTGGCCGCCGGCCAGCCCGTTCTCCTCGTTGGTGAAGAGCACAACTCGGATGGTGCGTGCCGGCCGAAGGCCGAGTGAGTGGAGGAGCGAGAGCGCGTGCCAGACGGCGACAACGCCACCGCCATCGTCCATGGCACCGGTGCCTACGTCCCACGCGTCGATGTGAGCGCCAAGGAGGACAACCTGCTCAGGGTGTGTCCTGCCCGTCAGCTCGGCCACAACGTTGGCCGAAGGCGCTGGCGGGCCGACAGAGCAGTTGAGGGCGAGCGCAAGCGAGAGCACGTGCCCGCGGTCCTGCATCCGCCGTAGCATGTCCGCATCCTCGGTGGTAATAGCGCCCGCCGGGATCTGCACCACCCCGGGCTCGTAGTGCATGCCGCCGGTGTGGACCGAGTAGATCGAGTGCGGCGTGAGCGAGCGGACAAGGACCGCTACCGCACCCACTCGCGCTGCCTCCACCGCCGCCCGGCTGCGGTACTCGTAGTTCTCGTCGTAGCTCACCCACGCTGCGTCCAACACCACAATCTTACCATCGGCGCTTCCAATCGCTCCCATCGTCCGCAGCTCCCCGTACGAGCTCACCACCACAGCCTCAGCCTCGAGAGCCTCACCCGGACCAGGTGTCGGCACGCTCCCGCCCAGCGCCATCACCGCCAGATCGGCGTGACGCGGGCTAATCAACGACGCGTATGACGCCGAGCGCGAACCTCTCCGCCACACCGGTACCGTCACGTTGATCAGCTCGACCGAGTCCAAGCCATCGGCTCGCATCTCCCGCGCAGTCCAATCGATGGCATCGTCCAGACCTTGACTCCCGCTCAGTCGCGAGCCAAAGTCATCGGCCAGGGTAGCCAATTTGGCCCATGGCTTTGTGTGCAACTTGGCCGCCGACTCGAAAATAGAGTTAATCCGAGTGGCATAACTTGCCCGCAGAGCGGCTCGAAGGATATGGGCTGATGGCGACTTGCCGTAGCTCATGTACGCCACGGTGACGAGGAGGAGGACACAGGCAGAGACCGCATAGATGTACAGAATACCCGCTCGCGCAGACGGACAGACTCGCTGCACAATACCCATACCTACCGCCCTTGTCTGGGTGCTGGCGTGAGGTATGGCTACCACTGCCGCTACCGCTGTCGTCCCCCGTGACCGCCTGTGACCGCATAGGGCCGAGCTGTCGGGTGAGTGTGGCTGTGGCTGGATCCGACGACATGGCGTGGTGGAGCAGAGGGGGTGGGATGGGGGTGGGCGGGGATAGGGTGAGACTGGTGGAGGGGGGATCGGGGGGATAAAGAGCGTGGGCAATGGCTAGAGGGAGGTGGAGAGGGTATGTGCTATCGTATGAGGGGTCTTACCAAGACGTAGACGAGGCAGAGCTGCCGTTGTTTGCCCAACTGTGTAGAAAATGTCACTGATCAGTGATCGTGAATCCGCACCCCATCCTAGACCGCAGCAGTCATTCGCTGCCAGATGCGCCCACCCCCCCCAACCCTTACGCCACCAAGCTGGGCCACCTTAGCCCAAGCGATACCCTCCCGTCCCTTTCACGTACAGGCACATGCACATGGCGATCTCCCGAGACAGACAAAGACAGCAACTCCAACCCCCCCCCCCCCCCCCCCCCCTCCCCCCCCCCTTCCCCCTCCAAAAAAAAAAAAAAAAAAAAAAAAACTCCCCAAAATGCCGCACGTTGCTTTTTTTCGTGAGCGTAATCGGCTCAGGTCAGGACGGGCGGGCGAGTGCCCGTGGCAGGCAGGCAGAGGGCGGGAGGGGGAGGGGGTTGAGGGGAGGCAGAGTGCAAAGACACGTGACACGCGGACGAGAACATGCACACGCCTACGCACGTGCGGTTCAAGGTCTCTGTACCTGTGGGAGCTACTCAATGGGGTGAGTATCTGGCTGTATGTGGCTCGGCCCATGAGCTTGGGAAGTGGTCGGCGAGCGGGGCTATGCGACTCGAGCTGCTGCCTGGCGGCAGTGTGACCAGCGGGGGAAGCAGTACTGGTGCTGGTGCTGGTGGTGCTGGTGGTGCTGGTGCTGGTGCTGGTGGGGATGGAGTTGGGCAAATGAGTGGATGCGGAAAAAAGTCGCTCGCCAGTCAATCGCCTGTGGCCGGCAGAGTGGCAGGTGATGGAGGAGGAGGTGGTGGTGGTGGTGGGGAAGAGTCCGAGGCTGGGAGGTGCATCTGGTGTGGTGACATCGAGCTGGCTCTGCCGCTGCCGGGCGTGCTTCAGTTCAACTATGTGGTGGTCGGCGAGAACGGAGAGGCCAAGCGATGGGACGTGGCAGGCGTGAGGACCATTCCGCTGGCGCTCGTCGAGCACGCCCTCATCGTTGACGAGGTGTGCCTGAAGGCTGGTGCTGGCGATGCTGCGGCTGAGGACGGAGAAGGTGCCAACAATGTCGATGATGTAGAAGATGCAGGGGTGGAGGCCGAGGCCAGGCCAGCTTTCCGGCTCATCTCGTTCTCGGTTGTCCTCCCGTCGCCTCTGGCCGAGTCGCACACGGCGCTGCTGCATACCAACGCGGGGCTTGCGGGCGCGATGTGGAGCTCGGTGGCGATGGGCCGGCTGCCGCGGCGGGTCGGCGGGCGAGTTGCAGACACGTTCCGGGTGGACATGTGGCTGGCGCCGCAGATGGCGACGGCAGAGCGGCTGGCTGCGCTGCGGTTCAAGTTTGCGGCGTCGGCGCATCCGCCGGTGCCGCAGATGTGGGAGGCTGTGACCGATCGAACGCTGCCCGAGGCGCTCCCGGGTGCAGGCAGCGTGGTGGTTGCGGCCGAGTGGAATGTGTCGCTGCCCAACGTGGCTGGCCTTGTGCTCGAGGCCGCGGTGCCGGACGATTCCTCGTTTGCGGTTCTGGCCGGCGGACATCCGGTGCTCGGAGCGTGGGACCCGATGGGCGGGGTGGTGCTGGGCAAGAGTGGGACCGGAACCGGGTGCGCTGTCGTTGCCATTGCCGCACACGCCGGCTTTGCGCCGCACGGCTTTGAGTACAAGTATGTCAAGGTTGTCGGCGTGCAGTTTGAGTGGGAGGCGCTCGGCGGCAACCGGTCGTCGGGCGTGCTCCACGGAAGCGAACTTACCGAGCAGTTTGGAGTCATGCCCGCCGGGCGGGCTCTGGTGCACCTCCGGGTTGACGCGGCGTTTGAGGCCTCGCTTCCTGCGGCAGTCGATGTGGTTGCCTCGCTCGGCACCGGCGATGGGGCTGTGGTGGCGCGGCGGCGGATGTTGCGTCTGGAGCCTGACGAGGCATTTGTAGCTGTGGTGGTGGTCGAGGCAGCCAGCAAGGAGAACGTTGCTCTACGCTACGTGTTTGTGGCGTGCGAGAGCGGTGAAGAGACGACGATGCGTGAGATCCCGCTGCCGGGCGCGGGTGAGTACGTGTATGTGCATGACACATGGCTTGCGCCGCCGCCGCTTGTGGGCGTCGCGCTCCGCGTGAGCGCAACGCCGCACGGAAGCCGGGCGCTGGTGTGCGGGCCGACGCCGCAGCTGGGGCGGTGGGATCCGGCGCGGGCGCCGGTGCTCTCCGCTGACAACGCTGCTGTGCTGTGGATGCATCCAAACGCTGTGGCCAAGCTGGAGTACAAGCTCGCAGCGCTTGACGAGGGGCTGGGCGGGGCGTATGTGTGGGAGAACTGCTCGACGCGTAAGGTGCCGCCGACGTGGCGGCCGCCGATATCGGTTGTCCACGCGGTCTTTGACGACGCGCCGGTGCAGGTCGACGTCTACCTCGATGTTGTGGCGCCGCTGCAGACCGGCCACTCTGTGGCGCTTGTGGCCGGCGAGGGCGCAACGCCTGTGGCGATGACACGGTCGGCGCCTGCGGTGTGGAGCACGTCGCTGCGGTTGGACCGCAACTCGAGAGTGAGATACTCGTACGTGCTGCTAGATGGACGGCGGCGCGAGGTGGCGGGCAAGGCTGTGCTTGCATGTGCGGCGGAGCGGCGGACGCTGCATGTGGGCGAGACGCCGAGCGTGGTCAACGATGTGTGGGGCGTGGCGAGCGGGCAGTTTGTCCTTGTCAAGTTTGCGGTGCAGTTACCCAGTTGCGGACCGTCTTCGGGCCTGTGCGTGGCGGTATCTGGCTCGCTTCCGCTGCTGGGCCAGTGGGATCCTGCAGCGGCGGTGCGGATGCGGCGGGCGGGCGAGAATGAGTATCGTGTGGCGCTCAATCTGCCGTATGAGGCGCTGCGGCAGCTCGAGTACAAGTATGTGATTGTGGACGAGCACGCGCCCACTGCGTCGCGGTGGGAAGCGCGAGGTAACCGGAGCGTGGTCCCGGGCATCTACACCTCGCTCTGGCTCCGTGACGCATGGGTGGGCGAGATGCCGTCTGCGCCGTCGACGCCGCGGATCTCGGCGCTGGACATCGACGTCGACTTTGGCTCACAGTCGGATGTGCTGGTGGTCCCTGTCCACCTAGCATGGCGGCACGGCGGGCGGAGCGGCTTTGTCCGCGGCTCGTTCACCTCGCCTCCTTTTGAGCGGCGGCTGCCGCTGGGGCAGGCGAGCGACGGCAGCCTCTCGCTGCGGCTCGGACTTGTGCCTGGGCGGTACCAGGTGGTATTTGAGGTCGACGGCGTGACGCGCTTTGCATCGTATGCGCCGATGGAGTATGTGCCTACGCTGCAGGCCGTGGCCAACGTCATGGTGGTCGCGCCAGACGCTGAGGCGCAGCCGGAGTTTCCGCCGCCCCCGGAGGATGTGCAGGGTGCGCAGGTGTGGTACACGCAGGAGGAGATGGCCGAGCCGGACCTCCGCGACGTGCGGCAGTACTCGCGGCTGGCCGCACTGGTGGACCGCAACGGCGGCTTGTTCTCGATGCAGGACTCGCTTGCGCTTGAGGACGTCATCACCAAGATCTCTACGACCGAGTACGTGGCCTCGCTCTCGGCCTCGCAGCGGGCGTTCAACCGCATCACGCTTGGCGAGCTCCTCTCGGAGATCGAGCAGCCGTTCAAGACGCCTCAGCTGACGGTCAAGCTCCGCGAGCAGGCTGGGCGCTCGCAGCAGTCGCTTGTCATCCAGGGCAAGCGCTGGTTCTACTGGACGCCCGAGGAGGAGGCCGCCCGCAAGCGGAGCCTCGTTGCCGCCAAGGTCCTCATCGCCGACGCGGCCGTGGCCTACGGATCGGCCGCCGAGGGTGGAAGCGGAGCAAGCGATGCGCCGCATGCTGTCCCACCTGCCGATGGCGGTGATGGCGTCGGCAGCGATGATCCGGTTGCCGCCGCTGTTGCTGCCGCGCGGGCAAGCATGGCGCGGGTCGACTCGCCGACAGCCGAGCGCAATGCTGTTCTTGCGCGGGGTGCCATGCGGGAGTGAACGTGCAGTGTGTGAGAGGGACGATTAACTGAACGTGAGTTAATCATAGGTGGGTACAATTACCTGAACGTGAGTTAATCGAGGGGTGGTGGTGGGTGGGGTACGATTACCTGAACGTGAGTTAATCGAGGGGTGGTGGTGGGTGGGGTACGATTAACTGAACGTGAGTTAATCGAGGGGTGGGGTGGGTGGGGTACGATTAACTGAACGTGAGTTAATCGAGGGGTGGGGTGGCACACTGCTCGCAGCTCGTCGTGGGCGCGAAGCAGAGGGAGGTGGACCAGGCGAGGGAAGAGCGGGCGGCTTGGCGAAAGGAGCGAGATGAAGAGTGGAGGAATTGTATGGGAAGGTAGAGCAGCAGCTGATGACCTTCCCCAGCCATACCGCTATGTGTATAGCATGGTCGACGAGCTGGTCTCCTCAGCCATGTCCATTGCCCATGCCAAAGGCCAGCGGACACTCGCCCGCCACTCGGCCGCCCACTACCACGCACAAGCCACTGCCCTCCACCCCCTCTTCCAGATCTCAGCCCTCGGTCCCATCTCCGCCCTCGCCACCGATGCTGCTCCCTCTGCCCGCCATCTCTCTGTCTCGCCTCGTCTTACCCGACCCGGTCGAGGCCGAGACGGACATGGTGCGCCTGATGGTCGAGGCCGAGACGGACATGGTGCGCCTGATGGTCGAGGCCGAGACGGACATGGTGCGCCTGATGGTCGAGGCCGAGACGGACATGGTGCGCCTGATGGTCGAGGCCGAGACGGACATGGTGCGCCTGATGGTCGAGGCCGAGACGGACATGGTGCTGCCAGTGAGGAGGATGACGGCAGGGAGTGGCCCATACTCGCTATTGGCTCGGTCTCGGGTACAGTCACCTTGGTCGACGCCAAACCAGGTAGCGTGGTCCTCGCTGGCGTCCTCGATCTCCTCACTCTGCTGCCGGAGCACTTGGTCGAGGCTCTCCGACTGCCTGATGACGACCGCATCGACAACGGGGCTGGGTCAAGTGCGCAGCGAACTGCGTCCAAGCCTGAGCGGAGTCGTGGACAGCGCTCAGAACGTCCGCCGTCTGCTCGAGCCACAGCATCATCAACGCGAGCGGCGCGGACAGGGAAGGGCGGAAAGACAGCAGCGTCAGGGAGGACAGCAAAGATGGCGGACAAGAACAAGGCCAAGGGCAAGATGCCGTCCAGCGGCAAGGCTAAGGGCAAGGCCCAAGCCAAGCGCAAGTCACGGCAACAGCCAGATGATGACGGGTGGCGTGCATCCGCTGAGCTACGCAAGCATCCGTTCGCAGTCAAGGCCTTGGCGGTGCACGGCGATGTGGTTGTTGTCCGCCTCGCCCGCTGCGTCGTTGTCATCCGTCTCGACCTTGCCGCAGATTATGCTCGCGCTGGCAGAGGGCTGACCGTCGTCGATGATGCCGGCAATGCCGACGATAGCAGCAGGCGCGGGTCGAGGTCGCGGACAAAGAGCAAGTCTGGCAAGAGCAAATCGACGGGCAAGGAGGCTTCAGGTGAGAGCGAGCCGCGTAGCAATCGCGTCATTGCTCTCCTCCCCAAAGCAGCGTCGGTCGCCATCGTCGCCACAGGCAGCGCCATCGTTCTCACCCACGCCTCGGGCGAGGTCTCAATCTGGCCAATCGCCAGCCTCCCACCCCTCGACGAGAGCGGCTCGGCTAGCGGCCTGGACCTTCCGCGCCATGACGACTACCTTCTCGTTGCACCGCCGCTTCCTCGCATGACCGACGTGGCCGTCGCCGTGGTGGCGCGGCCCGCAGAGACGATCCTCGTCTGGTGGCGCGGGTACAACACGTTGCGGCGGTTCGCAGCGCCTGCACCGCCTGTCGCCAACAACGACGACGACAGCAACGAGGACAGTGAGAGCGATGCCGGTGGCAAGCTGCTGGTGGCGCGCCCAGACTATGTCTTTCCAGCGCCGATCACGTCGGTGGCGTCATCACCGGGTAGCGGGCGGCTGACGGCCGTGGGGCTGGCAACCGGTGCAGTGGTGGTGTACGACAACGAGTACGGGACTGAGCGGTACGTTGTGACGCTCAAGACCGGCGCCGTCAAGCATCTCCTTCTGTTAGGGTCCGAATACCTCGTGGCTGCCCTCCAGCGCGCCTCTGAGCTCTACCTCTTTTCCCTCGCTCGCGGTTGTGCTAGGACCTGTGTCCCGCTCGGCCACAAGTTGGTCACCCTCTCACGCATCGGCGCGACACGGATGGTTCTTGCCCACACTCGCGCTGCTACTACCTCGCACTACGTCGCGCTCGATCCGGTCGCCGGTCACGAAGTCGCTGCTCTCGCCATCGATCCGCTCTGGTCCCCGCTCCGCCGGCTCTGTGCGCCCTACCTCGATACGTCCGGTGCGTATGCCATCGTCGCTCTGCGGTGGACCGGCGAGCCGCCGCAACCCGCGCCCAAGCTTGCGGTCGATGATGGCGCGGGAGAAGACTCTGGCAGCGATACCGGTGACGCCGCGGGTGGCGAGGGTGAGGACGGCGAGCAGGCTGTCGATGCCGCTGCCGGCGACAAAGCCAAGGTCGAGGCTTCGCCCAAATCGCGGCTGAAGCGACGGCTCGACATGGGCACGCCGGATATCAGGGTTGTCCTCAACGGCGCATCCGAGTCTGGCGACGATGATGACGACGACGAAGGCAGCGGCGGGATCAGCGACGATAGCCTCGACTTGAGCCGAAGCAGGGTCGCACGGATTGGCGGGAAGGCTGCCGACCGGCACTTGCTTCAGGTCCCGCGGCCACAGAAGCGGCGGCGGAAGCGGCGACAACTCAAGGCGTCCGGGGTCGGTGGGAGTGGCGGAAGTGGCGGAAGTGGCCGCGGACGAGCCGGATCGATACGCGGGCGGCGAGGAGGGCGGCCGAACGGAGGCGTCGGCGGAGGTGTCGGCGTTGGCGGTGTCGACAAGCACTTCAGTGGGGGCAAGGATAGCGAGGGTTCTGCTGGCGATGACAATGGACTCGACGACGATGACCACGAGGTGGTGGATATCGACGCTGGGCCGCGGTGCACACTCGCGCTGTTCTCTGTGGCCGAGGTGGCCGTGGGCCGGCAGGCGGACCAAGTGGTGGCGTACAAGCCTGCGGCGGCGTTTGCAAGCGCTGCAGCGGTGGCAGCTGCGCGCGATGCGCGGGCGGCAACGCCAAGTGCAAGCGGCTACCTTCGCGCGCCGAGCTCTGAGACGGCGGTGGTGGCGATCTCGCAGCTGGACGAGGGGCGGAGGAGCCAGGCACTGCTTAGCCGGGCCCAGATGGCAGCGATGGACACGTCGCTGACAGCCGACGATGGGCTGGTACCTGATGCTGGGGCTGGTGGGGCGGATCCGCTTGCGGCGCGCAGCGCGCGGCAGCGGGTGGTGCAGAGGGTGCTCTCACGGAGCTCGAGCCGGACAGCGCGGCGCGCGCGGTCTGTAGCGCGGACGCAGCGGACGAGCGCCGCGCTCGCCCGCGGCAGCGACGAACTCGCAGCGTTTATCGTAGCCATGGACGCCGATGGCGGACTACCAGCCGAGTGGCACGCGGCGGCGGCAGCGGCCGAGATGGCTGCGGCGGGGCCGGCACGGAGCGAGGCGGCACGGCGGCGGGAGATGGCACGTGCAGCGGCATCAAGCCGAGCGGCGAGGCGACGATAGGCATGTGTGCGGATGCGCTAGTACGCGGCGAGCGCGGCAAGCCACTTGTGAACAAAGTCGGCAGTGAGAGCCAGGTACATGAAGGGATCGTCATCGCCGTCAGCGTTGGTAAAGGTGGCGTAGGCCGAGGATGGGTCGTCGGGCGATCTGCGCTGAGCGACCGAGGGCTCGATGTGGGTGCCCTCGTGCCACTCGTTGAACGAGGTGATGGAGAGGTAGGCAAGGTGCGGAGAGATGGCGTTGGCGTCGTCAAAGTAGGCCGAGTAGTAGGCACCGGCAGAGCGGGCCTTTGTGTTTGCGGCGTTCCAGGGGCGGACCTGGACGTCGTCGTAGCCCGGACCGATGGAGGGGACGAAGAGGAGCGAGTGGGAGGCGGCCCATGCGGCGAGACGCGGCCAGGCCGACGAGCGCGATCCGTCGGTAAAGCCATTGGAGGCAAAGTAGGTGTAAATGCCATCAAAGCCTGCAGTGGTGACAAAGGGCTCGGAGGAGCGGTCGAGGTAGAGCGAGAGAAAGATGGCGTCGGCGGGTGTCTTGCGGACGGAGAGATCGCCGGCTGGGGTGAGGAGGCGGGCCCAGTCGGCGGCGGGCAAGAGGTACGAGTCGTAGACGTAGTGCATGGGCAGACCAGATGCCGGATCCCGGAAGAGAGCCGGTGAGTCGCCCCATGTGGCGGCGATGTAAGCGAGGTCGGCGGCGAGCGAGTCTGCCGAGCGGCCCTTGTACGGCTCGAGGTGGAGGGCGATGGCCATACCGGTGGCCTCAGCGACGTCAAATATGAGCGGGAGGCGCGGATGGGAGCCGACGCCCTCGCCATCGGCGCCGGATGTGCCGTGCCAGGAGACGACGACGACACCGACGCCTGCGTCAAGGAGCCATGCAAAGTGCTGAGCGATGGTGCTGCGGGAGGAGGAGGAGTACGGGCCGAGGAGCGGGTAGAACGAGGCGCCGATGTCGTGAGGCGGCGCGTGGCGCGAGCCGATTTCCGGGAAGCGGGCGTTGGTGGCGTCGGTCCAGTGCGGCAGGTACTCGTGGTTCCAGTGCTCCCACTTGCCGTCGGTCTCCGGCTCTGCGTACCACGGGTAGTAGAAGATGTGGACATTGGTCGAGGCCGTCTCTCCACCGTGGGCGACGTCAGCGTCGTCCCCGATGGTCATCTTGTCGGGCTTGACGGGCGGAGGGCGAGCCGAGGGTGTGGGGGTGATTATCCCATCTGTGTCCGCCGGGACATTTGCCGACGCTTCCACCGGGACAGCATGTCGCGGTGGTGTTGTAGGTACGGGAGCAACGTCGTCCGGTGTGTGGAGAGAGAGCATGACGAGGCCGAGAGTGACGATGCCTGTGGCGAGGAGGGCGGCAAAGACAGCGAGTGTCGGCAGGGTGCCCCAGGCGCGGCGACGGGAAGCAGCGGCGGAGCGGCGAGGTGAGGCATGGCCATGAGTACGGGTCGGGGCCGGGGAGCTCATGGCGGCTTCCACGTCGGACTCGCCAGTCGTGGCTGGAGGCAGCCGGTGGCGGAACATGGCCCGAGTGGCGAGAGAGAGAGAGAGAGAAGAGAGGGGTGGCTGGGCGTCGATCATGTCGGCGGCTCGGGCTTTACCTTGGGGATGGATGGTGGCCGTGGGTGGCCGTGATCAGGTCGGGGGGGTATGAATGATCAGGGGGGGGGGCGGGGGGTGGGGGCAGACGACGACGACGAA